AATAAAAAATATTTTATTCCAGTCCAAATCAGCTCAATTACTTTAATAAAGAGTTATTGTATAATGTACAAAATGTTGATACAATTTGATGAATATTTACAGCTACGGCTTCAATACCGTAGACGATGTTGGCCCGATCTTCAACAAAACATCACCCGTCTCCAGGGCAGGCGACTGGAAAAAGACACTGGTGTTCGGTCGAAACGGTGGAAACAAAATCGTCACTCCCAGAATAACTATGCAAAATAACGATCTAAAGTCGAACCATTCGAGCCACAATATTAACATAAAAATGACTTTCGTTGCATTTGACAATGATAAACTTACCGTAAAGCCGTGTTATTCTCGGTCGGTATAATCCGCCATTTTATTTGAGTGTTTGCCACCCGACTCCGCCCGGTGACGTCATCATGTGCGCTATAGAAGGAGGTCTGTGATTCGTTGACTAAAATCGTCGATAGTGGGTCTCGTTGAAATCTCGTTACATAGGCATCGGCTCAGATGTAGGTAGGGCGGAATTAAAAAAATCACAAAATCAAAGTAAAATAATAAAATAAAATAAAATAAAAAGGCATTAATAACAAAAGTAATAAAAAATAAAATTAAAATAAGTTTATAGCCAAAATAATTAAAGCCCGTACACTACATCAGATTTTAATCAGATTGGGTCCGAAGCAACAAAAATATTATCACAACAGGCAAAGAAGGCATTTTTTAATATTACCAGGGTTCCAAAAATTACAGGTATGCCATACTTTCATGTATTTTTTTTAAATGTTTGACACTATGGTGTTACCAATATTATCTTATGGTTCCTAGGTATGGGGCTTTGAAAATCATTTATGTTTGGAACGTGTACAATTTCTAGCCTGTCGTTATTTTTTGGGTATCTCTTGCAATGCTCCAAATGTTGCAGTCTTGGCCGAGTGTAGCAGGTTTCCTATTTATTTTCACACAGCATTAAAATGCATTAGGTATTGAATAAAATTATTAAAAATGCTACCTTATGTTGTATAAAATTGAAAAATCCAATCTTTGATCCAGGTTAACCTAGGTTAGTCATGTTTAAAAAATATTATTTTTATGTAACTTAGGTGATGTTTGGGAATCACAAACTGTAAATAACGTAAATGTGTTTTTACGCATTTTTAAGAACAAAAATAAACAAGTTCTATATACTGATTGGTTCAGCCAGGTATGTACATTTTATAGGGAATGACAATTTTCTTTGGAAGCTTAAAAGTATTTATTTGTGTGAAAGTGCATTCTAGTGTTCAAATGTTAGCTCAACCCCGCTGTTCATGCCACTATCTTCGTATTGAGACAGATAGAAACAATAATGCGGATAGGAGTGAACGCATGCGCATTTGATTGGTTTGTAACAGTAACAACATTGAAAATGAATACCATTATTTACTTATTTGTTCTTTTTTTGTTAATTTAAGAATAAAATATATTCCTGCTTACTTTTTAAATCCCCAACAGGCAGTAAATATTACGAATTAATGGAAAAAATACAGATCTTCTTCAAAGACTGGGAGTCTTTACTTTTCACGTAATGAAATTGCGAAAAGGGCTACAAGAATTGTCAATTGTTTAAAAATTGTAATTTTATTTTTAAATATAAATAATGTATGTAAATATTATGGACCGATGGCCTTCTATTATAAACAAGTCAGTGAAAATGACACAGTCCCCGTTAAATTTTTGAAAGTTCTCTTTGTTCTCGTACTAAAGTGGAGGGGTTGTCGCGAGCATGTCCTTGAAACTTGAGTCCAAAGTGGCGTATACAGATTGTTTATTTACATCAAATTCGAACATGTGTTGCGTGACGACCTCTCCGGTTTAAGACATAGCAAAGAATGACATAGTTCACAAGTGAAAGCATGTCCAAGTTATCACATTTTAAACAAACAAGACGGCCGCCAGTCGGCCATATTCGGATCAAACTGCAAATTGAATTGACATGTACATGTATCCATTTATGACATGATACATGGGTGACAGAGATATAGTAATATGGCCAATAAAAAAAACGTTATTCGGCCATCTACGAATGAAAAGTCAGATGCCTGCCAGTCGGCCATCTTTTATCCAATTGCAAAAGAAATTGTCATGGACATGTATCCTAACATGTATAATCTATGTACCAAGTTTGAATGAAAATTGACATAGCATGTCCAAAATGCAACATTTTCAAAAAACAAGATGGCTGCCAGTCGGCCATTTTGAATCGAATCGCTAAACCACTGCATGTGCATATGTCCCACATAAAGTACTAGGCACATGCAAAGAATGAACGGAATCAGTCCGACGGACGGACGGAGACCGAATTATATGTCCCCGACTAATAAATATATATATATCATATATATATATATATATATGTAATTTATATTGTTTGTTTAGTACATGGATTTCGAACACGCGACGACCGCCGCCTTTTAAGTTCCATATTGCCATTCCCATATGAAAGAATATATCCATCCTTGAGGAGACAATACATTTATGACCCAGATAAAAACTTGCTTATAAATTTCAGTCATTTCATCAAGACTTTTGTTTCTGAAAGATTTAAAAAAAAATATGTACCTCTCCAGGTGGTACTTCAATCTGAAATTGGCATATGACCTGAACTGTTGAAAATATTCATTTAGAGTCGTGTTTGAGGGCGTTTTTGAAAGTGGTAGATGATTGTCTGTTCGCGCGTTATCTTGTTTGGGGATCTAAATTCAAACTTTACGTTTCAGGATTTAACTGATGATGAGAAACAGAAGATTGCCTTAGAGATGAACCTATCTGAAACAGCATATGTGAGAACCCTCAATGATGGTATACAAACTGGTATGCACCCCAACAAAAAGCTATTTATCATTTTAATTTGTTTAATGTTTATTTATTATTTATTTTACCGGATTTGTCTAGTTTGTATACCTGATCACCTTTTTAATAGCCCAGTGACAGGCTTCACTAATAACGTTGCTAATAATGTCGCGTTTATATGTATATATAAACCGTGTCACTTTAGGTTTCTTTAATCAAAAACACTAGATATTCTCTCTTTGGTTTAATGATATTTTATATTGAAGCAACAAACCACAACTGAAAACGGGTATACCAAAAGTTGTTGCATGATCGAGTCGTATATCCGACTTTGGTGGCGGCTTATTGACATTATATTATAATGCCAGCTTCATTAAGCGGAGGGGTTGTCACCTGTACACGTGGGAATTGAGTTCCAAGCGATGATGCCAACACACGCTAAAAA